ATCCATGTCTGAAACATAAGAAATCTGGTTCTATCTGATCGTTAATGCTCGTTTACAGATAGCTGACATATTTCAGTGATTAAAATATGTATATAAAATAATACCATTATCATATTTAGGGAAGAAGTAAATCTTTAAGAAGGATGGATAATAGCATCCAGCTCTTCAGTTTGTTCTACTTGTGGCATAACTTGCTTCTTTATTTAACCATGCAAGAAGGGTCTTCTGACAAAGGAGATGTTTGATTTTACAGTTGGAATACCTCTGTCAAGAAATTGAGTAACATGTGAGAAACTCTTCAGTATAATTATTCAAAGTGGAGAAAATAGCTGAAGACTCCCAGAATGATTCACTTGCCAACATCTTTTCAGGAAATTCTGTCTTTCTCTTCTTAAAGCACAAACATGAGCAAACATGTAAGTCTTAAGGCTGTGTAATACTTTTAACTGTTTCAAAGCAGGATGGGAACTCCTCATAGGTTTCAAATAACAGTGGCTTCTGTCCCTGATAAAATAACTGTATAAACACAGGGAAAATATCGTGCCATATCATTTTAAAAGATATGTGAGTAATCACCTCTGCGTGTTTTCTGACCGATGGGGCTATATTTTACAGCAGCCGTACATTGTCAGTCACAGTTCCTGTGTTGTTCCTCAAAGCCCTCTGCAGCTCTTAGCAAGACAAGAGCATCTGTGTCAACAGGAACCACCCTGACACTGCTGTATGATTATGCCATTTCATTCATGTTCAGTGCAAAATTCCCGGGCATATGGGTATTTTGCTTGGGCCTGATGGGTACCACGCGAGGATGTATAAAATACCCACGATGGTGAAAGCTGATGCTGAATTACTTCTCTTGTTCAAAGCATTATTTTTGGGAAACATATACCTGCCCTTTGGTAGAGTTGTTAAAGGTCATAGTTTCTGAGGGAGCAAAATTGTGAAGATTTTTAAGCTAGAGACAGCAATGTTGTTTCAGATTCATTGAAGATCTGACTCTTGAATCCTTGGATATCAAAATATAAGGGATTATTTTGTGTGAATTTACTTGTTTATTAGCTTGCAGCATTGAAATATGAGTTTTTTTGATGCTGTTCTAAATTCTTTAAAATCAGTGGTTTAATAACATGAGACCCAATTAGCTTTTTGACTGCTTCTGGATGGGAGGAGCAGGAAGTTGCTTAGGGAAGGAGTCAGCAGAAGATTGTCCACAGATAAACAGCAACCCAGCCAAGACCATTTTGAACAAGCTGTGATGGAGGATCCCCGCTCCCTGCCCTCCTCTGGCAGCTCTCCACACTGACAGGTGCTTAGAGTCCAGAAAATATGGAAGCTTTCACTGCTGCTCTGCAGCAGCAGTCACCCGTTGTGGCAGTCTTTCTCTGCTTTACTGTCCTTCCAGGTTGGCTGGCTCAAGGTCTCCTGCTGGCTTCCATGCTGTTTGGGGCATTCCTGCTAGCTGCAGTGTTCCTGCCCTTACCTCCAGGGACGAGCACACGCAAAGAGAGGAAAGTCACCTTTCCCTTCGTAATCACTGCAGTGGTGATCTCTCTCACTTCTGTCCCCACAAGCAGATCATGAGCATCTATTTACTCCTCACTTCCAGTGTTTTTTTCCAGCCTTTCATTTTCACCCTGCTCCCTTGCAACAGTGAGAGTGCAGGCTTAGAGAGGAGGTGTCATGCTGTTTAGCCATGGGCAGGCCAACAGAGATAATGCCTGCAGAAATTAGTTCCTTTAGTAATACAATCAAGTAGAAGCCCTAAATGACACCCAGCTCAGAGGGAACTTATTATTTTTATTCAGTATTCAAAAGCTGCATGCCGTGGAGGTCAGAAGCAATGTCTCATCTGTATCCAGGATCCACATTCTAGATATCTTTGTCAGTACTAGCTGTCTTGTTCAATTAACTGTACCAGCAGCAGAGCGCCCATTATGATGCCATTCTCCAAATCTGGTTGAGCCAGTGAAGAATCTTCTCAAAGGAATGGGTAGAGTCTGTGTTTGGACATAATTCCTGTACGTTTCAGTAATTCCTGTACCATTCAAAATGGTGATTCAGAGTTAAAACTGCATACAGAAAGAGGTAGCCATATCTTTCAACTGAAATTATCATGAATGATTTTGTGTAAGGAAAAAGAAGAAAAGTAAATCACTTGCCTGGCTTGGCTTTGCCACGGTAACCAAACAAGCCCTGCAACAAGCACAGGAATTGACATGGGAAGAAACACGTGCTTAGATTTCATTTTAGTTAGTGTTTTAAAAGGAAGAAATGGTCATGTTTGTAAAATACTGAACTGCTCTGGTGAGGAGCACAATATAAAATTAAAAGCTTAAAGATGAGGAAGAACCAGTTTATTCAACTACAGTTCACACCTTCAGAGAGCCAATAACTATTTTAAGGACATTGCTGGTTTTCAGGGCTTGATAACTTTCCTTATAAATACAAATAATGGAAAATCAAAAAGAGGAAAGTTGTGAATTCCATTTTCCTGGAAGTTTGCATGTTTTTCCAACCTAATGCACAAACAAAATATTTTCCCTCTCTGTTGTAAATGGAAGTACTTTATTTAGCCTAGAAGATTGTGATTAGAGATTTGATATACTGTAACACAGCGGAAGAAAGTGCTTTCTTGCAACTGTTACAAAAAAAACCTCATTATGTTTGTATAATTATATGCTGAAAAGTTTCATTTTAAGTTCAGCCCAGCTCTTCTTTAAAGCAACTCTGATGACAGAGACTGAATGTTGTTTCTGAAGCCAGGCACAAATCCCAGAGAGACATTCACAATATCATTTGCAATATGGGCTAAATAGTGCCATGGAAACCACAGCCAATGTCTAGGCCTTTTGAAGCATTGTGATGACTAGTCTGGTAGGATATGCCAAAAGCGGGTTATTTTCCTGTTTGCAGAGAAATAAGGTAAAGCAGATCACCTGGTCCATTCTTTTCCAGCTCAGTCACAGCTGTGTGTGGTGCTTTGGAGTGTAGATGGTGCAAGGAGGGTACACTTCATGTCTCCTTCAGTGTTTACAACAGATCTGTGCTGATTTCCAGTGCTGCATTTCCTCCCTGCAAGGATATCTGCTGCATCCTAGATTATTGTTTAATCGTCTCTCACTGGCTCTTTTTCTATGCTGGGTATAGGATTCCAAGAACTAGGATCATCTTTTCTGTGTGTAGCTGCTTTGTGATAATGCCATCTCTCAGAAATAATATCTGGTTGTGCCAATTTTTGTTATATCCTTCTTAAAAAGAAAAGTGTGCTTAAATTCCTGTTTCTATGGTCACTGTTGAGTCTGTTACCCTCTGTGTCTTGCCCAGTAGCTTGACTCATTACAGAATTAAGTGCATCTATGTTGACCTGTTTTAAGTCTTGTATATTTATTTCAAGGGACTTAATTGTTTTGTAATGCTACTATTCTGTTACAGACAGAGGTGTTGGAAAGAAGTATAGGAAGATAATTTGGAGGAGTGTTGTAGCAAATGCAGGCTGTCTAGAGTGCTGTAGCTGTGTAAGACACTACAGATGGTGTAACTGGGTACAAGAGGCTCTTGTTTCAGTAATTTATGTCTGCTTATAGGTAATGATGTAGGATAATTGAGCACAAGAAACAGCAAAGGAAATAAGCTTTTCGTCCTAAAAATCCCCTTTCTAGTCTATATCAGAGATGAGATTTATAACTGAGATCTCTAAATTCAACATGGCTTGCTGCCAGTGAGATGCAAATCAGAGCCTGGCTTCCACAGGCTTCAAAGACGGGCAGAAAACAAGGCACTGCATCTTTAAGAAGTGCTTATTTGGCATTTACTTACTTAGTTAAAGATCATTGCCAGGCAGAACTCCCGTGGGAGGAGTGGATGGCTCATTGGGCCTCATGGGGAGGGCGGTAATTAAACTCTGAAGGCAAGCAATGATGTTAAGCTAAAAGCTCATCTTTAAATAGTAATACACTTGCAATGTAAAGTGGAAGGCCCTCGGGTGCCTGTTGACATAGCGTTAGGAGCTGGCACTTTTTTATATAAAAACTAAATTGAAGAAACTGTTATGAGCTCATCTGCATAAAGCAATATGATTCTGCCTGAGGGTGTGGGCAACAGGGAGTGATTAGCAAAACGTCTTTTTCTCTGCTACTCTGTTGCTCTGCTAACATGCCACTTGTCACTGAGAAATTTGAGATACCATATGCCAACCTGCATCTACAGAGACCCCCTTGCTGATTGCACATTGAAGAATTCCTCTTCAACGCATGAGGTGCTGTCAAAAAGCATTTCTGAGACTGCATGAAACATGCTGGAAAGAAAAATCTCATGTTGCCTTCCTATTTCTTCCTCTTGTGTTGCATCAAATCCTCCCTAGTCACAAGTTTATATGTGAAGCAAAATACGTTTCCAGAGAAAGAACTGGATATTCTTTGCTCACCTTCATCTCTTTCTCATCCTATGTGTGTTGGACTTGCTTACAGGGACTAACCTTCAGCAATGTAAGGCTCTAGTTCCCAGAGAGAAGCATGAGCCAACTTGATTTCCGTGGAGATCTGGATGGGACATTCACTTTGCTTAAAAGCAGTTTGAATTCCTTGTAGCTATGCCTCCTGGGTCAAGGAAGGGGTGCCCAATGGAATTATATTAATAATTAAGAGAAAATGAACATCAAGCAATAATATAATTTCCTGTCATGCTAGTTGCAGAGTTCAATTACTTAAAATAAATGAAATAAAGAACACCATAAACTTTAGTTCAAGGGGCATTTTGTTTTGAGGTAAAAGTCACTTTTTCTGTCTTAAGATAACAACCTTAATTTTCTTTCTTAGCATTTTGATTTTCATATGTGGTGTTGAGCAGAAAATTTAATTAGTATGTGTAGTATATGCATGTAAGCACACATCAAACTCTTCAGAAACATATTTTAATGTAATTTATCGGTATTCAAGATAAATGTTCTACCTGTAGAGCAGAACTGAAAAAAAATGTACAAGTGTTTTCACTTTCAGGTTATTTTTGTTTTATTTGAATGAATGTAAAGATGTGGTAAAATACAAAGCTCTCATAAGTCTTCTCTTCACAAAAGATATCTTGGTGGTTATTCCAGAAATTGGCCTGTGAAACCATGGTATTATTTACTGAGGATTTTCACCATTATTGTAAAATGTACCCTATCTGACAGCTCTTGTACATATTTTAGTATAGACATGACCTGTCCTATTGGTGGCTTGCTAGATAACTCAGTCTAGACCCCAAATTATTTTGGATGCATCCCAGCAAACTTGTGCCTATGCACATGCTGTGCCTCTCTGTACTTATCTGCTGTGGAAATGCTGAAGGATAAAGTTATAGTTTTTGTTTCATGGAAAGGGACTGGCATTATTGCACTGCATATACTGAAGGTCATTTCCTAAAAACAGCCTCTTGGACCTTTGGAACACACTGTTTCAACGTACAAGGAAAAACACTTTTTTATTTTCATGAACATCCATGCAGTTGAAATACCAAACACAGCATGACTCAGTAGCTGAACAATGACATCTGGACATTCATCATAAACTCATTGATTATTGTACAAGAATGATATGGAGTAAACCAATTTCCATCTGTTCCATACTAAGTAAGCCGTCTAAAATTATCACATAGAGATGTTGTCCATAATGACATGATGCCTATATCTCAAATCCACTATGTGGCTTATACTCTTGATGACTGTTCCAGTAATAAATCCAAACACCAACAGGATGCTGAGGACGAAGTAGGCTTTCATCTTTTGAAGTTTGGTTCAGGCGTTTAGCACAAATTCAGGGAATTTGGAGCATGAAGTCCGTCTGAAAGAAATGTGAAAGAAGATCTCTTCATAAGAAGGACTGAAACATAATGACAGGTTAGATTTGGAAAGCTGGTGTAGCTATCATGCCAATGCTGTTTCTAGCCTCTGCATAGAGGGTTTAAGTGCCCCAGGCTGCCTGTATGCTGAGTGTGAGGGGGAAGGCTTGTTTATTCTTCTTCCCCTGTCATGTCACTCATGACAAGAAGAGACATGAAAAGCTCAAGGGGCTAATCAGCTTTTAGGCTCTGACCCATATTTTTGAGTTAGCAATAATTATGAAATATAGGAATTCTCATGTCTTATTATAACCATATAACTGCATCGCTTCCACAATTGGTCCAGACTTAACTCTGTGTGAATGAGAAGTTAGCAGGCACTGTATTTTTGGAAGAAACTAAACCTTGGAAAGGAACAAAAATGAAATGCGGGTGGTGATGCAAGTGAAAAGGTTTGGGTTGGTTTTGGTTTGGTTTGGTTTATTTTTGGTTGGTTGGCTTTTTTGAGGCTGTGCCAGGTGTGTTGAAGGCAGCAGGGAAAAGGAAGTGCACAGGTTGGCTGCCAGCTCTTCCAAAAGATAAGATCAAGTAGGTTTTGGCAACATGATAGAACAGACATGATAACCTGCTTTCCACTCTGAAACACGAGAAACACCTGCATCTCTTGAACTCTAATACTTTTGCCTTTTAACAAGAGTCCCTTTTTCACAGTCAAAACTGGAAAAAGCAAGCAAACAAAAATACAGCCATTGCAATTCCCAATGAACATGATCGCTGCAACAGTAAGATTCTGCATTTTGTGAATTTATAAAACTCACATGACTGTAAAAAGCATGAGGACAAAAGTCACACAGTTGTGTGGACTCATTCTCTTTGCAAGGTTCTTTAACTGTACTTTAATCTTTTCCCTGTGATCTGGGGCATGGGCTGAACAGTCCTGAAGTAGGAACCAAAAGTGCTCTCAAACATGACAAGGAGCTTTTTGCTTCAGTTTGTGCTATAGAACTGCTAATTTCTCATCTGGAGTAACTCTAAGAAGAGGCAGTTTCTGCTGCGGCTTTTCTTTGTGTGCTATTGGATTTGATTTTAGAGCAGATTGAGAAGGGCATCTGCTCATAGCGCTTGTAAGCTTTAAGACATTATATTAAAAGAAAAACATCCTTTAATGTATCATGAGACAAAGCTTAAAAAAATCCTGTTAGTGTCAGTGATGGTACTTATTTCTCTTGTCCTCCGTCTCTCTGTTCTTCTTTTGCTCTAGCGGCTTTGACCATTGATGCTAATTAGTACTGAAAAGGACATTTTTGGCAAGGCTTTTAAATACAGCTTTTATCTTCTCTAGCAACAGACAAAGTTGTATTTAATGGTATTTGACATCTAAGAGTGACTGCAAGGTCTTTATTCTGTTGGGGTTTTTTTTTCTAAAGGAGTTTCTTATTTTTCTAATTTATTAAGAAATCATATGTACTTTTTTTATCAACCTCTTTATGTGGCTGAGAACATGTGTTTACATGAGTGTATGATATTAAAAAGAAAATTAGAGTTATATCAGTGTTTCAGCAAGTGTTCAACATCAGGAGATTTCCTTCTATTAAATTTACGTTTCGAATTCTGTTAAGCTACTTCTTTTGATATCCGTATCTTTTAATGTCGTGAAATTATGCATTTTCGTCTTTTAAAGGCTTTAAGGCAATTCCTCACAGCACCATCTAGTATTGGCCTGTATAGTATAGCTGGTATACAGTTGGAAGAGACTCATGAGAAATAGTTGATGCAAACCATTACTGTAGGTGTTTCCTACTTGCCTATATGCAGTGGTACTTTTGCCATCCATTGCTGCAACAGTTTTTTAGAGGAGTATTTCTTTGTGGATGTTGATTTTGGCCAGGCAGCATTGCCAGAGGTGACTGTGCCAGTGTTAGATCACAAGTACTGACACTGGATAAACATTTCTAGAAGCAGTAGCAATAAAATTACTACAGCCTACAATTTAACGTGAATCCTACTCACATACTTCTTTCTGTTTCTTGAAAGGTGTGTCCCAAATTTAGGCAATCTAATTCTGCTACCCCAAACCATTCATTTTTCGTACTTTTAATCATGCATATTGTAAACTGCTAGAACTAAGCTGAACAGGATGTAGAACACAAGATGGAAAGAGCATTTCCTGATAAGATACCAGACAGACATATTTTACATTCAGTGGATATGTAAGTCTAGACTTGGTTGCAGGGTGGAAATCAGTAGTCGGTAGAAATAAATGCATTCTCCTTTGCCCGTCTTCCTCTTTCATTATTTCCTGTAATTCTTCTAAATTGCTAAAGCTCATGTTAAGACTAGATTTTGGGAGGCAGGGTCAGTGCTTTGTATCTCTACTACACAAGGCAGTTCTGCAACCTGGAACTCTTTTTAAGTTACTTTCAAATGGTTACGCCTTCTGTCTGTCTCTGGGGTTTAGCTGCCCGAACCAAAAGCGTGCAATACCAGTGCAAACCCTCACGTGGACTTTCGTGAACTTTTGGCTGGGGTTCTTGGCCCTGCAGGGGTTATAGCCATCTGTCATCAGAGGATGATCTAACTTACACTGGCAAACTGGCCCAGGGAAAGGAAATACAAAGATGAGCTTTCTCTCATTTTTTGCATTTCTCAGCTGCACAGCATGCTCTGCCACAGCCTAGAGGTATGATTATGGTTGTAACTGTTGGACTAAATCATGGATATGGCATGTCAGCAAATCTCAGGATTTCCCCCCCACACCTCAATTTTCTGTGTGCAGATTTGACTTTTGATACTGGTTCCACTGAAATAATTTTCAGTTAAATTCTATTATTTTCTCACAAATATTTTTTTTCAAAGCATCAAAGCAAAACACAGTTTCCTAGCTCTGCACTGTCTTGTTGGAGTTACAGCTTGGAGGCTTCCCTGTAGGCAAGGCCTATGTGAGAAACTTATTTCTCAGAAGACAGCAGAGATTTATTTTGGTCAGCTGTTTGGATTACAGCAGATGTAGCTGGATTAGAAATCTCTGCACAGGAAATAATAATGCCATTCAACTCTCAAATTTCCGTTTCCACAAGGCAATGCGTGGGTCCTGCAAGAAGCACAGCTGCATTACCCCTGGGAAGTCCAAATCTTCAAGGAGTTGTTCTGTGAGAATGGTGATCCAAACCTCAGATTTCATTATACCTATGCTTATGGTTAGTTTCATTAAAAAAAAAAAAAAAAAGTTTTGTGAATGCTGAAATGCTTCTTTTTGATTGGGACCTTAAAGTAATTTTACAATCTGGAGTCTTTTTTACATGAATACCTATTCAATGAAGAAGATTGGTGTGTTGGCTTTTAGTCCTTATGCAACATTAACAGCTGCTGAAATGTGGTAAATTCTGATGATCTGGAAATTCTGTGTTTTGCTTACAGTCAGAAGTGGGTTATTTTTTGTTAATTTCGTGGTTTTGATTTTATATATGTCTATATGAACTTTGTGATGCATCAGAAGCACATGCTAACTGATGCTCCTGCTAACTAATAATTGGCACGGTATACATAATTGTTCACATACTGAATTAGATATAAAATATTTCCCTTATGAAACGTAATTGCTGTGACTCAATAATCATTGTGAGAAGAACTGTTATGCTCTTTTATATATACAGCTTTTCTTTGGTGATGAGAATAACATAATAATCAGCATTTGCCAGGTGGGACAATCCCTATATTCTGGAGTTGAAATCTGTAGCAGTTAACATAACTCAGATGCTTAAATGAATATTGGGTTGTTGCTTTTGGGTACAGCAAAATTTGGGATAATGCTGTCACTAGAGTGAAATTCTGTCATGAAAGACTTTTAAATTAAGCTTTTTGAACCCAATCCAATAATCTAATGGAGCAATTGAAAAGTCTCCCATTGAGTTGAATAGGCTTTGGGCCATTAGCTTTCAGAGCAGCAGTCCTGCGTTGGAGCTTCTTGGGGGTGTGGTAACTAAAAAACTTCTGTCAGATTGTAGAGCTAGCTTGTCATCTGGCTTTTAGTTGGGATCGTATTTTCAAAAAGGTATCTAAAGTATTCCTGTCAAATCAGGGTGGAGAAACATTTTATATGCCCCAGTGTAGGTGCCTGTGTTCAAAAATTTGGTTCTAAGAGTCATGACTCTTTGATTTGTAATACCTTTTATATACCAAATAATTCTTTTTTTAGGGTGATTCTCTGCAGTCAGAATTAAGATATCGAGCCAAGAAAAGTCAAAGAAACAAAAAGGACAAGTATTTGAATGTCTTTTCAGTTCCTAATTCTGCTCTTTGAAGCCAAGTATTTGTGCTTGGTGAAAAGGCATAAAGGAAGAAAACCTTGAAACTTTAGGAAGCACAGAGATTTCTTGCACTTCCATGTATGAATATTTTTTACTTGTAGTTTCTGCTTGGTTGTTTTTCTGTTGGGGTTTTGGGGTTTGGATTTTTTTATTTTGGTTTGGTTTTGGGGGTGAGGGAGAGGTTCAGCAAATATATTCTTCCATCACTTCTGACTTTCTGTCTTTTTTTAAACCCTTCTATATTGAACTCATAAACTCATTTGGTCCCAGAGGATACTGAAGGAATGAGATGCTTTTTTTTTTTTTTTTTAGCTATCTTTGTGGGTTGATGGAATTTTACCTGTTTGTATTCCTGAGAGTTCCATATCTGCCAACTCATCATTACCATAGGGGAGATACCTTTATTTCATGCTTATTTTAAGTCCTATTTGAAAAAGTTTATTTTTATGCATAAATGACCCCAAATATTTTTAAACCTTAGTCACAGTAGCCTGGTGGACAATCTAAGCTTAAAATGAACCTTTGACCTTGTCCCTAAGTTGTTGCAATTTTAGACATAATTTGATTCCTGGCATTTCTACACATTACATGGTAATGGCATTATAGTACCTGTAGCAGTAATTTAGAATAGATATTCATGGACAAAAATGTCTTCAGCCTTCCAAAGGGCTGTTGGAGTATGCCAGTAATCTGATTACTTTTCAACTATTTTTTGAGAGAGATAAGGAATTTTCCTGTTAAGTTTTCAGAGCTTCTTTTTCGGAAGCGTTGTTCTCTCTCATTCAGAGTAAAGTATTTGACATTCAGACTGTTTGCCTGTACGGTCAACTGAAAAACACAGGTATCTCTTGGTGTTCAAAAAGATTGACTAAATTGTCCTTATTGATTATTTAAAAGGATGGAAATAAGAATTTCAGGATCTTCTTGGAATCACCTCAACACAAGACAAAATGTTAAAAAATGTAGATCATTTAAGCAACAAATCTAAATAATAAGGGACATGGTAGGATTCTTTTGCAATGGCAAAATGTTGTATGTAATCTCAGATAAGTAAAATATCAATTCCTGATTTTCTGGATCTTTGCCGGAAATCACTGAGTTTTCAGTAAATCCATGAAATAAAAGATTTTGAGACATATGCAGTATGTATATACATAAGTTCAGATATAAAATATATATAAAAATTACTTCTTAATTTTTGATGATTATTTCATCTTACTGATAATACTTAATACTATTCTTAATAGTAGTGAAGTTATTTGCTTTACTTAATATCCAGGATTTCTTCATAAAGATGAGAGACAACTTATTTTATGTTTCACATTGACAAGAGATGCAATATAGCAAAATAATCATTACCATCTGGAATGATTGAACTAGATGACATGAGGAAAACTTGAGGACATGAGGAAAAGGGAAAGAACAAGATCATACCCACTATTTCATCTCTGGCATTGTCCAGCTTCTGGTTTCCTGCTTACTTTTGTAACCCAAATAAAATGTCAGTATCAATTAAGTGCATTTTTCTCACGGAAAATACTTAATATTTTTATCTTTATGCACCACTTAAGGTCCCATATGAGTTATCAGTTGGTTTTTGGACATCTAGGTGCACAACAATGTCATCTTTGAAGGACTTCTGTTGGAAAAAGTCTTTATAGGGCTTCAGCAATTAGCTGGGCATCAAGAAAATTCTGTGTAGCAATGATTTCAGAGAGGAATCTCAAGGTACCTTCAAGTTCAGAGAAAGACCTTTCTGCACTGGTTATAGACCTTTTCCATCCCTTTTTCTTTTCCAATTTTGCCCCATTTTGTCCGTTTTCTTTTTGCATGTGCTCTCTGTGTGACCCACGTGCCATGAGTCCTTCTGTTCTTCAGACCTCTGTATCCAGGTCAGCTGTTTTGCCCTTTGCTCCCACATTGCCTGGATGGAAGCAGAGAGGAAAATCAGTTACACAAACAATGGGGTCTCTGTCTGAGCTGCTGACAGCTTGCTCCTGTGGAGGAACAGTCATAGGAATTGAGCCATTTGCCCCTGGATTACAGAACACGGTGCAGATAGAGTACTGGAGGCTTTAGTCACTAAATTCTGCTGACCATAGATATCTCTATTTCGGTTTAAGTACAGAATAGTGAACATTTATTTTCAGTGACAGAGAGATAATTGTAAATAGCAATCCAGAAGTAATTGTATTGCAAAATATTTTTTGTTTCGCAATATATTTTCCTATTTGTAGAGAAGCTATTGTTGTGTTTCAATATCCTAAAACCATATTTTTGTTTCCCCGTGGCACTGCTTCTACATACTTCTTTGCATATTAGTAAAGAAATGGACACACTACACAGAACGATTTTTTTTTAAAAAAAAGACTGCCAAATATTTTTTTATTTTCTTATTATATACACAAATGTTCAGTCTTCCTGGAGTTACCTGCTACTTCAGAACTTATGAAGACAATATGTGAGAGACATGTGTTATGCAGAAATAGCAGAGAGAGAGGAGAATCAGAGAGGAAGAAAAAGTGAGTTGGGCCAAATCTCATGTTCTTCCATTTAGATCTCTTTTTTCCTGCATTCTGTTCTTCTTGCTGATGTCATGCTTTTCTAATTTCCTTTGATTGTCAGAGCAACCATCATTTTGGGCCATGCAGTCCTATTTAATAAATAAGGATGTCAAGTGAAGGAGAGTCAAAGAAACTAGACAGGAGGGAGTATTAAAAAGGCAAATGATTCATATCAGTAAATCTGTCATGTAAACTTTGATAATTAATTTGCACAAATGTTGAGTTTTGTGCCTGGATCCCTTAGACACTTTTATTACTAAGTAGATGTCCTTATGCATCCAGTTTAGCTCCGATTTTCATTCCAAATGCTGTGTTTTAATGGGACCCCAAACCAATTAATTTTGCTACAGTTAAAAATTGCAATATTTAGTTTATTCAGAGTCAAGTGATATCACTTGGGTGAAATACTGTCAGAATTGTGGAAAATTGAGAACAACTAAATAACTAAAACACAAAACATATTCTACTTCTGAGTTCTCTGTAGATAGATCACAATCTTTAAAGATGTTAATAGCTATTCACAGCTTGGTTGTCACTATTATTTGTTTCTCTTTCACTTATGAATGAATATGGTTTCAGAATGCCAAGCTTGTTCCTGAATGCCTACTAGGTATGATGGCATTTTAGGAAAAATGAAGCTTATTCCAGAGGAGAGGAACATTTCCCGTAGATCTGGTACAAGTAATATGGCCAAGGATAGGGGGAGAAAAACCCAAGTAGCTTAATTACTTATTTATTCCCTATTTTCCTATTCATATTTTATTTCAATTTCTGTTTGTTTGTTTTAAGTCCTCAAGATGGTTTTATGTTTAAGTCCCTATTAGGAATGTTAATGTTCATAACAGCTTTGAACTTTGAACCAGAGATTTTTTCAGAGCGACACAGTGCATATAATTTAAAGGGGTATTACTTTATATTAGTTTGTAAATTAGATTAGAGATGCCAAGTCTTTCCCTCTTCCTCATATCTCGCAGAATCATAAATTACATTGAAGAGGTCCTCCAGAAGCTAATCCGATTCAACCCACTGTTCAGAAAAGGTCTAATTAGATCAGGTTTCTGAGGGCTGTGACTAGTCAAATCCTGAACATCTCTTAAAACAGAGGTCCCACCACTTCTCTGGCCTCTTATTCAATATTTAACCATCCTCATGGCAAAAAAACAAAAAAAAAGTCCTATCACTACACACCTCCAAAAAATTCTAGCTCCAGTGTCTGTGTATTCTCTGATTGAAGAGATCCAAACAGCAATAAGATCCCCCTTTCACCTTCTCTTCTCCAAGCTGAATAGGCACACTTCTTTCAGCCTCTCCTCATGCACTGTGATATCCAGTCCCTTAACCTCTACTGGGCTCACTTCACTATGTCAATATCATTCTGGTACTTGGGAGCTCAAAGCTGGGCACAGCTCTAAGAATCTAAGTGCTTGCTTAAACGGAGCATTTCCATCTCTAATTTCCTACTGTGGATTCTTTCTGCCCTATTCCTTAAAACTTTAGGCACTTCTCTTGACCTTTATCTATCTGGCAAGCTACAAGGTCATATAAAAAGAAGTAACTTAAGATATGTGGCATTTTCCCAGCCCATGGCTAGGAGCAATAGCTGTTGCTGCACAGCAATATGCTGTGTGTGGGTGGAGTACCTGCTGGGAAAATTTCCATTAAAAGCTTCCAAGCATATGAGAATTTGCTGCTTTATTGCCACAAACAAATAACATCTCCTCCTCAGCAATGCTGATATTAGAAGTTTGCATTTAAGTGCAAAGAGCTGAATCAAAACTTTACTGCAGTTTGGTTGTGAAGAAGCTAATGGCAGACCGTGCTTTTCAGCTTTCAAGGGAACTGCCTCTGACTCCCACTTCTTTCCTTTTTTTCTATTCAGCGAGAACTGTAGGTGAGCGGTTCAGCGTTTTGCTGACACACCAACGCCTATAAAATAGTATGTTGTACTGATGCGTGAAAAGCACTCAGCATTAAGTTCTTGAAATAATCAATTATTTAGCAGCTCATCACATTTACTGTCCACTGAAGGATCTTTATAGCAATAATGAGGTCACTGCAATCAGATCCTCTTCTTTTTGGCATTTTGTCTACAAAGCCTGCACACAGTCATAAGGAAACTTAAAGACTGTTGTTCGGAATCTGATCTAGTCTCAGCAGGAGATAATTGCTTTTTAATTCTTCCTATCTGGATACCTTCTTGTACAATAAAGTACTCCGACTTGCAAAAGAGAGGGGCCTCTGCTCATTAGAAATAGCATCTATGTATTGACTTGACTGGCCTTGAATCAGGCAAGTGGAATGGTGTCAGATATTCTCTAGTAGGTGGGAAAGTTGGTTAGAAAATTACATTCAAGAAGGTTTGGGAAGCAGCCTTTCTGACTTAAAAAAGGAATGTCCTTTAAGCATTATATGGTCTAAAGGAAAAGATGCTTTTGGAAGAACAGCAGTAAAGAAATGAGTCCAAAATAATGACATTTACACATTTTCCTGACATTTTTGAAAATATTTTTTTTTTTAAGCAAAAGGGAAACATTGTCAAGGAACTATGATTCATAATTATTGTTTATTTTGCTAGACTTCTTAAGGAGACTGCGTTTAATGTTAGTGAGACAATAAGTGGAGTACTACGTGGGATTGGAGAATTATCTTCATGAGGATGGGTAAATAATTATTTTATATTAATTGTTAGATGAAGGAAATGAAAATCAGTGAAATTTAGGGTGGTGGTGGCGGTTTAAAGTAACAAGGTCGTTTTCTATGTTGCTGTGTCTTTGTGCATTTCTGACAAGGAAAGCTTGTGCATGGTGAAGGTGCATTACCAGAGTGTGCAGGTGCAGGCACGTGCCCACAGCTGTAGGAATAGCTGCTCTTCCTTACGGTTACAGCCTGTTTCTGCAGACCTACCTTCATTTGTTACTGGCAAAAATGCGACAATTATTTTGTAAAAATATCTTAAGGAGCTAAAAAAGGGAGGTTTATATTCTTTATTTTTTCTTATCCCTGTTTTTTCTGCAATATATGGGGAAGATTTGAAACTTGGTTTGCTCTAATCTGAGATCTTCTTTTCATAAGAGTTGAAGCCGAACAACAAAATGGCGTGGGAGAAGGGGAGTTGTTAAACTGAGAAGAAAGAAGAAAAAAAGGCATAATTGGAGTTACTTTTTTTTCTCTTCAATTTCCATATATTAAATTTAGCTAATAAATAGTAAAAATAGGTAATAGATACTCTGGAGAACAATATATTTGTGAAAATTTCCAGAAAGATACAGTTTTCTGCAAAATAAGCAAAGCCCAAGTTACTCTTTCCTGAGGTTAAAAATGCAAGCAAAAACAGATGTATGAGCTTGTAGTCAGACAGACTGATAGGTTGACAAAAAAGCATGATGTATGATTGCGGTGAGAATTCTGCATTGCATGTCAACAGAGAAATATTTATTGGCACTACATTATATTTATGGATGCAATACCACAGCCTAAATATAGCGCCATCTTAAAATACAGTGCTAGAACTCATTAAATACAAGTAGGAAATTTGAAATACAGTTTACACTTGGAGCTTTCTTGCTATTCACTTGTCCTTCATGTTAAAATCGTATTAAATGCAGGAGGTTGGATTCAAGTTCCTCACCACGGAACTTCACTGAAGCTGATGAATTTACCGTATTACTTTGGCCGTGAATCAGCTGAAAGCCACAAGGAGTATTGGTAAATGTCAGCCCGAGTTTACAGGTCACAATCCTAGAACCAAAGTGAAAACATTTGTGCTGATCTGGGGAAAGAGTGACCTTGTTGACAAATAAATCTGAGATAGTATGGCTCCTGTCAAAGCCTGAAAGAATCTGAATATTACATAGCTGTGATAAATGCAATTTGTTGTTATACACAGCATGCTGAAGTGGTCCAGGATCCTGGCAGGTCTGGTCAGCAGTGAGTTACAAATATGGCCCCTAGCCTTTTCAGAAAGCAAAACTTCTTATTTGCATTGTTAGATTAGAAAACAACTCTGGTGGCTTTAAAAAATATGTTTTTAACTAGTACAATACGCAGATAGCTTGAATGGATTTGAAACCTAAACTGTGAATAGTCAAGACACTTGTATAACTTCCAGACACACCTCCAGTTCAACAAATAAACTGAATTTGTATTAAATTAGAGGTATATCTGAGCTGACTTCAGTTACTCAAGTACTAAATGTACAGCTACATTCTTAAGTGGTGCTGGTCTCTCAGATAGGTTTCTGCATTCTCCTAGGGTTTCATGGATGCCAGTGCCCTCACTGGATGGGTTACAGCAGCGTTAACTATGCTTAGGTGTGCTGCAGTCGTGCTTTAGTTTGTGCATAGAGTCAATGCATGTACAGTGCTTCTTTGTCCTCTATGCATCTGATAGAAAAATTAAGCCTCATTTACATATCAGACTGCAGTTTTATCCTTTACACTAGGTATGTAAAAGAACTCAGCAGATATGCTCACTTATGGGGAGAAATAAAAGCAATAAACAAACCAGGAATGAAATCCTTGTCCTGCTGGAGACCATGCCAGTTTTGCTGTTGATTCCACTGTGACAAGATTTCAATCATAATCATAAATGAGTCCATAAGAAATTTTATCAGAGAAATATCCTTTTCTCACCTTCCTTTCAGTATTTTCTAACTCTTAGACTAATACACAGTTGTGAAATCTTCTATCCCATTAAGCAAATCAGATAAACATGGTTATGTCTAAATGCATGTATGAACAAAATGATTTTTCCATGGTTTTAAGCTAAGATGTTTCTTCAGATATCTGCATTAATCTTTAAGCTAAGGAGAGAGTAAATGGGAAGTGCTGGTGCATGTAGTTAAATATTTATTAAAGTAGATGTGGAACTAAATGAGAAAAAGTGCAGAAAATGCGAAGACCTGGAGGGGCAATAGTGTTTAGATTTATCTAAATCTAAAGAATATTTCAGCAGCAAGAAAAAGCCTCATTTTCCTTCCTTGATCAGTTTGTAGCTGTTAAAGTGCTGACAGCCAGTATATTGGAAGATCTTTCCTCCCCTCTGAGATTAGAGCGGGAGATAAAATTACCACAATAGGAAAAACAGTGGGATCTCAAGTACACTAAAAGAAGAAAAAAAACAGACCAAAAAACCCCACAAAATCCTATTCACTGTGTCACAAAGTGCTTATCAGTTTTTAAGTTCTTATATGAAGGGCACAAACCCTACTGGCTTCTGGTAAGATTTGCGCTTCTAATCTGTTTAGATGAAAATCCCAACCTGTCTTGGATTTGTCTTTCACCAGCATCATTGCCTCCAGAAAAACGTTCATGGGCGGTATTCATCTTTGTGCAGAAATAATACGGTAATCGCTTGTACTTAGCCCATGGTTTTTCAACTTCTTATTGTGGTCTGTCTGTCTGCAATGAGCATGGTAGTACTCTGCAGACATGAGGAGTTCTTGGCTTTTTGTCAAAGTGAGCTTTACAGCTCCTTTGCTTCTTACTGAAGTCTTCAGACTAGTGCAGAAAATAAACATTACTGACTGTGTCAGTAATACTTCCCTTTTCTGAAATCCTCCCTCTGCGAGAACATGATTTGCAACACTTTCAGTGACTTCATACTTAGACAATTTGAAGAGCCCAAGGTTAACATACTGTCTGATAAAATGATGCTGATTTTATGACTGGATGGAAATGTCTCCTTGACTTTTTTTAAAGATGGAGACAGGCTGGGGTGGGGAGGTCTCTGCTGGAACTGCATCATCCTGAGGCACATAAATTTCACTTCTAAGGCTATGGTTGTCATGCAGCTGGAGAGTCTGTCTTTTGCATAGCTCTGTGGCTTTGGATCATAGGCAAAAGTGTAAATTCCTTTATTACAAATTAAAAGCCTTATGTGCGTTGATTATATTTTTAATAATACAATTTGTGTTAAAGAATGCAAACAGAACTGTCCCTGCTGCCTTTTGAAAGAGACACATTCTTGTGAAGTTTGGTCAGAATGGAAAATGCAATGGAAAATATATGATAGTCAACAACAACAAGACAAGAATGACATGTGGATTTTTATTTTTCATCTGCTTCCCATTTAGGAAGAGAAAATTAAGTGATTTGCTCATAAATGACCATTATCTGAAATAGATGCAAATAACTTTTTATCTCTCTCCAAGAGGCCTCCTTGTCTTCCATTCAGTTCTTGAAGATTCTTCCCAAGCTGACTTCTGTACTAGGGCAAATCTAAATACGCAAAGACAGAACATAAAAAGAAAAGTGATTCTATTTCCATAGCAACATCAATTCACATTCTGCAGGTACAACAGCTGCCAGTTAGTCCAATCACTAAATGAAAGCTCCTGAAGGCTCTTTATACTGTAGCATTTGGCCAAAAATAACTTGGCATGCCACAGTTTTCCCACAAACCCACCGAGAGAGTGAGATTAAACTGACTGGCAAGCAGACTGTCAACTCGCTTAGTGTCTTCATGCTAAGAGGAAGAAAACAGTCTCTAAACATTTGAGAGGGAAAAAAAGGATGTTTATGGTTGGCACATTATTTTCATGGCCTAAAAGGTAAAATATTTATGCTGTTGAAAGGAATATGGAATATCTTCTGTCTTATTCATCCCAAGGGCACCAGGTAATTTGTTTTCCTGCAGAAAAGTATTGTAATTACGTACATTCTGATTTGGAAGTGATTAGCATTTTTTGAAGTTACAGTGACAAAACTAGGCAGTTACTTGAAATGAATTCTAATGGAAGTAAATCAGTTTCTCTTATTTGGACTTCCCAGAGACATTTTCTGAGGGAGACATAAAATTATTACTTTCATAACCATTTTATGATGAAGTTCTGTCAGTAATTAGATATTACCACATGATACTAAAATTGGTATCACTGTTACCTGTCTTCAGCAGATCTTAATGTGAAGCAGGTGTTGTATGAGCACTTCACAAGAGTATTCAATATGAGGCAGTAAGAAAAAAATGTAAGTCTTTTTTTGGCAATTGCATAGGTAGTGTTTAGACCTGTAATTACAACTGATTAACTTAATTAAAACTGGGACAGACAATCTTGAGCTGATTTTTTAGAAACTTGTGCAAATAGGCCATCATCAAGAAGGAGTTGGTGTGATGTGTTTTTTGATGGTAGTCTTAGGAAAGTGACTGCAGTGTACTGACAATCAACTCCCGCTGGAGAAAAAGTGGGTATTTTACCATTTAAACCTAGACAGAAATAAAAAGATTCCTTAAGACAAGTGGTTAAATCTTTCTAATTTAAATTCATAAAGCAAATGATTTTAATTAATTATAGTATTTTATGGAGAAATTTTGCCTTCATTTATCTCTAAAGCTCTGCAGACCTGCCAGCCAGTTGAGTTTACTGGTAGGTTACTGATTTGGGAGGCAGCTAACCTGCCAAATGAGTTAGATTTGGGTATAAGTTAGACTTAGGTCCACAAAGCAGGTTATGATTTAGGTTGTGTTGGAATTGGGATTTTAAAACCTCTCTGACCACATTAGCAGATTTATACATCATTCTGAGCTGTCATTGAAAACTCAAAGCCTGTTTCCACGAGCATGTTCAGGTAATTAATAGGCTACATTCCAACATTGAATTTTTTTACATCTGCAGAAGAAAAGGTTGTTTACACACAGGCATAAAAAGCATAGCCTTATGGTATTTTTCTTTTTTATGTGTTCATCACTGCTGGTGGATGATATTACAGTATTGTACAGTGTATTTAAACCATTACAAGTGATGTTTAGTACAGTAATGTATTCACTGAGTGTTTTTCACCTTCACTGTTGAAGTACTAATTTTTGGTAATGTTTGATGCTTTTGATAATGTAATTTTTCATATATAATAATGATTAATGTAATTTCTTTCACTTTTGGTCAATTTCTTTAACTTTTACCTATAACAGCCAATAGTGGGAACCCCACTTTGATGCTTTTAAAATGCAATGTGCAAATATTGCCATTTAAACATAACCAAATTCTCTGAGGAATCTTCTGTACTGGAATATCTTTCAGTTAATGTATTTGTTTGGGAATATGCTTTTGAAACTCTTCTCGCATATGCCTCGGGAATGCATATAGGAATTCTTATTTTGCTTAATTTGTTTTAAGAGCTAATGTATACAGGGACCATCTTTTCTTTTCTTTTCTTTTTTTTTTTTTTTTTTTTT